TATATATATATATATATATAATTTTATTGTTGCTATTATTATTATTATGACAATTTAAACCATTAGAATGAATGGTTCATTTATGATGACTTTGAAGGTGTTATACAAGGCAATTCCTTTAAAACCTCAATATGAAGGACACTTTCCTTAGCTCAAGATTTGCTCAAGCAACTAGATAAATGTTGGTAATCCCTGAGCATTTATATCTTGTAACTATCATATTATTATCTTGTGTTGCTAAATGTTTACATATTTGATAGTGTTGTTAATGAAAATGAATGCGAACCTCTCCTTCTGGATTTGTATGGTGAGTGATAATTATTAAAGCAGCCATTCTAGTCTAAAGATGGCTAACGCCTTTTGCCAATCATGATTGTCCTTAAAAGGCATTCATCAATGAATGCTATGTGTCATTGAGTACAACATAGATGGCTACATGGCTTGAATGTTATGTGTTTCTTAGAGTGAGAGTGAGAGAAAAGAGCAAAAAAAAGAGAATCTTTATTGGTTTTATATATATTTGATTGTATGATCGAAGTATGCTAAATCGAATCAACTGATTATGGACAGGACGTTTGTTAGTAAATCAATCATAAAAGTCACAAAGAGTTAGCAATCGACACAGACATAAGGATCCAGTTGATCAAACTAATAAGGTCTACTGAATAAATAAAATGAGTTGGTCTCTGACCTGGGAGGAAGTGAAGCGTAGATTTGACAAGTAACTATTTAGTCATGATAATGAGTATCTTGGAAAATACAACGATTGACCAACAATTCAAAGTTTTTAAGGGCAATATCGACATTTTGTAATGTAAATTTTACATAATGTAAATATAGGGACATTAACATGTGTTTTCTTTCTTTTTTTTTGGTTTTTTTTTTTATTTTGAAAATATATCAAATTATTTTTCAAATGATAAATTATAATTTTCTAATAGGAGAAGTGTTTTCTCGTTGTTTTCTAAAAAATTTAAGGGTGGGAAATTATTTGTTTATAACTTGACCTATTAAAATTTGGTGGTCGTAATAAAATTGTTGTCTGAATTTTTTAATATATATTTATAATTTTCATATATTCTAAGAATTTATTTTCTTCATCATAATTTTATAATTATTTGTTTACAATTACTTAAAAAAAAAAAAAACTGAAAAAAAGTCATACTTGCTATCAAAAGTCAAATTCATATTTAAAAAAAAAAAGCTGAAACAATTTTCTTAGCATTATTTTATATCTACATATATATATATATAACACCTAAATTTTTACATTTGAGTTCTAGTTTAATATCACATCAAAAATATCGCTATTATTTACTTTATAATACTTGAATATTTAACAAATATTTTTATAACTCTATAAAAAACAATTAAATAGATTTCAAATTAGCATTTAATTAGTTTATATGAAATAAATAAAATAATATACAAGTTGTAAGTATGTTTTCTTGCAATCAAATAGCATAAATATCAACTAATAAATTATTTTTAGAAATAAATTAAATTGCATTAAAATTATAAAATTATGCATATATTGATATTACATTAAATACGCTATTATTAAATATTTTATTAAATAAGTACAATAAATATATTATCTTTAATATTATCTTTTTCACAAGAAAAATTATTGCATCTTGACTCCAATCAAGATCTGCCACGTGTGCATGCGGACCCACCTTAATAAAAAAACTAATTTAATATATGGGCGGTTGTATACGTGGCAGGTTTGGATTAGAGTCATGATACAAAACTGCATGAGGTCTCGTGATACAAAAGAAATTTTCCTTTCACAAGGTGTTCGATGCCATGACAAAGCCAAAGGGGACCACTAAACATTGATTTTTGCATATGGTAGAAAAAACCTTTCAAAAAAAATATGGATGCTTGTGACATTTTCATAAAATCTATCATTATTAAATTAAAATTTGATAATACTCTCATTATTAAATTTAGGTCTACACATGTGCCTTGTTGAAATTTGTCGCCAAAAAAATATATTTTTAATGCCCTTTGAATTCGCAATTATTAATTTTAATTAAATCTAATTATTATTACATTCAATCACATAAAATTAAAAAAATCGTGAAATGCTTTTCTTCCAAAAAAAAAAAAAAATCAAATTTACCATGTCAAAAATTTTAGATATTTATTTAAATAAATTGTTGTTTAATTTAATTATCGGATGCATAATGATATAATATTAAATTTTTGATATCTTTATCTCATATTTAAAATATTTTTTATTTTTACATAGAATATTAAATAAAAATAAGATAATTAAAATAATTAAGGGTCTGTTTGGGGCAGTTGCAGCTTATTGAATAATCAGGATCAGCGCTGAATGTTGGCAGAAAAGCATGAATACAAATCATGTTGGCATCTTCAGAATCTGCGTTGAATGTTGATAACAAAGGAAAGAATATGCTAAATGAAGATGTTGGCAGAAAAGCAACGAATGATGAATTTTCAGGATATACGTTGAATGTTGATAACAAAGGAAGAAATATGAGCATGAATACAAACAGAGGCAGATCCAAGCCCAAGAAAGAAAAATCCAAGTCAATCAGAAAAGAATGTTGAAACAGTAGTAAGAAGAGAAATTTTAAGAAGGCCTTCAAAGCTCGAAGGAAAGCTAGTGGTGGAGGATAGGAAAGTATTTACTCTAATAATGTTCCATTGATAAATTCCAAAACGGCTCCCTGATTTTATCCTTAGCCAATGCTGAATCCATGATAGTCAATTTAGGTGTCTCTTTTCGTGCTTGCCCCAATAACAAGGTATTTAAAATCTACACTAGAGTAATCTAGGGAATATTTATTCAGGAGATAACAAGGTATGCAATATAGTAGGAAAGTGTGAAGTTGATATCAAGTTGTCGAATGGAACAATCTGGAAGCTTACTAAAGTTAGATATGTTTAAAATTTGAAGATATATCTTATCTCTGTGAGCCAGCGGACTATATGGTTGTAAATGAACCAATTCACTCAATAACAATTAAAACTTGACTCGATTAAGACTCAACCATGTTTGTTTAAATTAGTAAATGAACGAACTTTAACATTTTTAAAAAACTTGAAATGAACATAATCAAATTTGTTCATTTATTTTGATGAACAAAGATGATAGCTCATATCATATATAATATATTATTTAAATAAAATATAATTACCTAAAATACAAACTCTTTTGTCGATAGCCCGATGATAGCTTTTATCATATATGCTATATAAATACTTGATATCAAGTTTATGTAAGCTTTAAAATTTTCATTTTTAGTTGTTTGGCATAATTTAAGTTAAACAACGCCTAAATGCTCCATAAATCATTCTACTAAATATCTCCCATAGTAAGGAATTTAAGGCAAAATGGAAAAGAAACAAGATTTAGGATACTGTAGGATTTAGAGTTCATATTAAAAAAATTAATAACTGCGATCAAATTTATAAAATATTTATTAAATTCTTGTATGAAAATGTAGATATTTGTTTGAATTTTTAACTCATTTATTAGCTCATTTATATACTCATTCACTTATTATAAACAAGTCAAGTTCAATCATTAAAAAACTTAAATAAGTGAAATTTGAACAATATATAAAATAAAAGCCCGACACAAGTTTAAGCTGATCATGAACAACTTATAATTATATCAAGCCAAGTTCAACTTGGCATCTACTCAAAAATTCTAAGTTTGGTTGTTGGACTTGTAAATTCATAAAAATTGAATGTTTGTATTGTAAATATTCCTTAATACAATATAAAATGAGGTAGAGGTAGAGGTAGAGAGAACCAGAGACGTCGCACGAAAGCTATTGCAGACCATCAATGGCGGAGACGGTTGCCCCCCATCTTCTGGTAATCCCGTTCCCATCACAAGGTCACCTTCTTCCTCTCCTCGATCTCTGCCACCTCCTCTCCACCCGCGGTAACCTAACCATCACCATCGTCGTCACTCCCGGCAATCTTCCCATCCTCTCCCCACTCCTCTCCTCCTCTCCTTCCATCTCCCCTTTACTTCTTCCATTCCCTTCTTCCCCTGATTTACCCCTCGCCGCAGAGAACACCAACCAAGTTCCCCCAAATCTCATCCGCCGATTCATTCCCGCCCTTTCCTCTCTTCTTCAACCCATCCTCCAATGGTCCCAATCCAACCCTAACCCCCCGATCGCTATCCTCTCCGATTTCTTCACCGCTGGGTGGACGCTTCGTCTCGCCGAAATCCTCTCCATCCCCCGCCTCTCTTTCTCCCCTTCTGGAGCATTTGGTCTAGCAACCATCCATCATCTATGGCGCGAGATGCCGCCTAATTCCGACGCCAGTCTCATCATCCCTTTCCCCTCCCTCCCCAACTCCCCTTCCTTCCCCCTTTCCCAACTCTCCAGTCTCTACCGCAGCTACAGAACCGGCGATTCCGTCTCCGAATCAATCAAGGAAAATTTTCTATCGGACATTCAAAGCTGGGGATTCGTCGTCAACACGTTCTCAGACCTCGAAGGCAGCTATATCGAACACCTAATGAATCATGTTTCGGGGCATCGGCAGCGACTATGGGCCGTGGGGCCGCTCGTCGCTTCAGCGATTGAGCGGAAGAG